GTCCTGCTTCCCTCTTTTCCTTTCTTTCTTGTGGTAGGGGAGGATTTTGTGTCAAAACGAGTTGTGCCAGGGTTTCTCCTAGCCTGGTGTTGTGGGACCATATGAGGTGCCAGGGATGAAACTAACTGCATGCAAAATTAGTGCCTTAACCCTTGTCCTATTTCTCTGACCTTCAATTGTACCTTTTTTCAGAAAAAATTACTCAGCATCCCCTGGAAATCTTCATTCTTTAAGAAAAAAACCACAAAGCACCCCACAATAGCAGCAAAGGTTACTGCTGCTCCCTGACCCCCATTTTCCCAGCCGCCACCTCTAACCCCTATAGTTGGCCATAGAAAGACTCAGGTGTCCGGTGAGCACCACCACTTCCAGGGCTCACTCTGGGGTTGACTGCATGCAAGATGATTACTGTGACTCAAAGGTGTGTGTGTGTGTGTGTGTGTGTGTGTGTGTGTGTGTGTGTGTGTGATCACCATGATAGATAGTATTGTTTCATGCAATGTCTCAGCACCACATCCTCCACCAGTTTCCACCCCATAAAATCATGTTTGTTTGTTTTTTTGAATCACCATGAGATACAGTTACAAAGCTTTCATGTTTGAGTTTCAGTTATACAATGATCGAATACCCATCCCTCCACCAATGTACATTCCCCACCACCAATGTCCCCAGTATCCCCCACATCTCACCCCTCCCCCTGCCTCCATGGCAGACAATACCCCATATTCTCTCTCTACTTTGGGGCATTATGGTTTGCAATACAGATACTGAGAAACTATCACGTTTGATATTTTCAATACACGTCTTCTATTCCGAACCATCCCTTCAACCCTCATGGACTTAGTGATCCCTTCTCTATTCCAGCTGCCTTCTCCCCCAGCTCATGAGGGGCAGGCTTCCAACCATGGAGCAATATTCCTGGCTTTGTCTCTATTGCCCTTGGGTATCAGTCTCATGTTATTTTATATTCCACAGATGAGTGCAGTCCTTCTATGTCTGTCCCTCTCTTTCTGACTCATTTCATTTAGCATGATACTCTCCATGACAATCCACTTACAAGCAAACTTCATGACTTCATCTTTCCTAACAGCTGCATAGTATTCCATTGTGTAGATGTACCAAAGTTTCTTTAACCAGTCGTCTGTTCTCAGGCACCCGGATTGTTTCTAGATTCTATCTATTATGTACAGTGCTGCAGTGAACATACAGTGAACATGCAGTGAACATGCAGGTATCATTTTTACTGTGCTTTTTTGCACCCCCAGAATATATTCCCAGAAGTGGTAATGCAGGGTCATATGAAAACTCAATTTCTAGTTTTTTGAGGAATGTCCATATTGTTTTCCAAGAAGGCTGTATCAGTCAGCATTCCCACCAACAATGAAAGAGCATCCCTTTCTCCCCACATCCACACAAGCACTGGTTGTTTTTGTTCTTTTTGGCCAGTCTCTTTGGTGTGAGCTGATATCTCATTGTTGTTTCGATTTGCATCTCCCTGATTATTAGCAATATAGAGGATTTTTTCATGTGCCTTTTTGCCATTTGTGTTTCTTTTATGAGGAAGCTTCTGTTCATTTCTTCTCCCCATTTTATGATAGGGTTGGAGGTTTTTTTCTTGTGTAGTTCTACTAGTATAACTATACTAGTGTAGTTATACTAGTTCTACTTGTATATCCTGAATATTAACCCCTATTCAGATGAATATTGGGTAAATATTCTTTCCCATTCCATGGGCTCTCTCTGTAATTTGGTCACTGTGTCCTTTGAGGTGCAGAGCCTAAGAAGCTTCTAAGAAGTTTAATGTAATCACATTTAAACTATAAAATATTTTTACAGCAATTGCCATACTGTTATTTTAGAGGCTGCCCCAGTTTATGGCCCAGGACACAGTATCCGAGTTGCTTTTTCTCTACATCCTCACTAAGATTTATCCCATCTTTTTTATACAGGCCATTCTCTCTATTGTTACATGTCTTCTGTTATTTTGATCTACAAAGTGATACTGAGCATTTTTTCCATATATATCTGGGCCTTCTGTATCTCTTCTTTAAAGATGTGTCTGTTTATGTCATTTGCCCAGTTCTTTTTTAGTTAAGTTGCTTGTTTTTATTGTTTTGCGGTGTTTGATCTCTGAATTTATTTTGTATAGCAGTGCATAGGCCTCATTTGCTAGGTTTCTGTGCTATGTCAAAGACTTTAGTTTCCTTATTCTTGCTTTTGTTTCCCTTGTGGGAGCTGTCTCCAAACATCTCTAAGCTTGTAAGCTTCTAGAAAATATTCCCTCTGTTGTTTTTTTTCCTTTATGTATTTATGATTTGCGGCTAATATCTCTAATCGATTTTGAGTCATTTTTGTATACAGTGTTAGTGATCTGATTTTATTTTTTGAAGATTAGATGTCCACATCTAATGTCTATATGTTTTGGTTTGTTTCCTGGCTCTTATTCTGTTCCATTATTCTGTGAGCTCCTTTTTTCCTTTAAATGCCATCTGGTTTAATTACTAAAGCTTTGTTAACAAATTTAAATGAGAGACCATGATCCATTTTTCTTCTGTTCTCCAAGAAATGCTTCGGCTCTTTGAGGTTTTTATGGTTTGTACAGGTTTTAGAATTGTTTGTTCGAGGTACTTTCTTGAAAAATGCCATTGGTTGGGGCTGGAGCAATAGCACAGTGGGTAGGATGTTTGCCTTGCACGCGGCCAACCCGGGTTCGATTCCCAGCATCCCATAGGGTCCCCCGAGCAAAGCCAGGAGTAATTCCTGAGTGCATGAGCCAGGAGTAACCCCTGTACAACACCAGGTGTGACCCAAAAAGCAAAAAAAAATGCCATTGGTTTCTTGAGGAAATTACGTTGACTCTGAAGTTTGCCTTAGTAAGATGGGTGTTTAAAACAATTTATTCTTTAGTTCATGAGCATGGAATGCCTTTTCATTTCTCTATGTATCTCATTTCCTTCATTAGGGCGTACTAGTCTCAGTGTGTGAGACTTTCACCCTCCTACTCCCAGGTCTTTCTACCTTATTTGATCCATATAGTGAGATTACTTTCCTAGTTCTCCTTTCTATCCAACTCATTGTTTGCATAAAGAAACGCTACTTACAGATTTATTGGTAGATGTTGTATATCCTGCTGTTTTACCAAACTCATTATTTCTATTTTGTTTCTGGGTTTATTTTTGGTGGAGACTGCCTAATACTAAGTTTTCCACAAATAGTAATTATTTTACTTCTTTTCTAATATGGATTCCTTTTATGTCCCCGTCCTCCTTTATGGCTCTATCTAGAACTTCCAGATAGATCTGATATTTTTGTTTCAGTTAGAATTAACAGTGTGCTTATCATATATGGCCAGTGTCACGCTCATGTCTCCTACTTCTGTCCCATTTCACTGAGGTGGGTTTTCTTTTTTGTTTTTTGTTTGTTTTGCTTTTTGGGTCACACCCGGCAATGCACAGGGGTTACTCCTGGCTCTGCACTCAGAAATTACTCCTGGTGTTGTTCGGGGGACCCTATGGGATTCCGGGGATCAAACTCTTGTGGCTGCGTGCAAGGCAAATGCCCTACCCACTGTACTGTCACTCCAGCCCAACTGAGGTATTTTTTTAAATCACATATGGATGCCCAAAAAGTTCTGTTCATTGAGATTGGTTAATGTATTGTATAATGTAATGTATTGTTAAAGTATCTTTAACTTACAGGTTTCTATTTTGTCTCTTTTTTCCTTGGTATTATTGAGGAATCAGATTTTTTTTCTTTTTCTGGACGGTGGTGATGTTGTTGCTGATGTGTGTGGGGCTTTCCCCCCTCCCCCCAGTAGTGACCCCGGGCCCTGCCATGCTGAGTCTTATGGGTCTCTTGGGTCTTCTTTGACCTGTCTTCTCTGCTCTGCATTTTCTCTGCTTGAATAGTTGGATCCAGAGTAGGTCGCCTATTTCTGTGGGCGCTGGTATGAGGAAGAGGCAGGAACTTCCCGGCCAACACCGTGATCTTGGAAAGCACATCCTGTCTTGTTGCCTTTCTTCTCATGGTCTTGGAAAGCACATCCTGTCTTGTTGAGTTTCTTCTCATGCTCCTTGCTGATAGAGCTGATACTACAGCTTTTTTCACGGGATTCATAAAATTAACTGGAGTGCTAGACAAAGGGTGATTTCTCATTTAATTTTTGATATTTCCCACCTGCTATTTGAGTGTTCATTGCTTTTACTGTTCGATTGGAAGGCAAATGCTCCTTCCCTGTGCCCAGTTCACAGTGCTGGTGAAGGTGCCTTCCTTGAGGAAAGAGTCCGTCCACCTTTCCTCCTGAAGGAAGCAAGCACCAGGATAGAAAATAGTGTGACTGAAACGAATTCTTTCCTGATTCCTCCCCTCAGCAGACTTTGAGACATTTGTGCTAAATTGAAAGTAGATATTTTTAAATGAATAAAAGGCAAAGAAGACAAAAGTTGTAAAAGTAATTACTTTTATTTGGAGAGTATTTATTCTACTAACTGTTTATTCTACTACCCTGTCCCCAGCCCATGTCACTCTATTATTTAACATTTTCTCATTTTTTCCAGCCCATTTTCACTCTGTGACTAACATCCTCCCACTTTTTTTATTTCAATCTAGAATTCATTCATCAGTATTATCTGTTTAAGTAAGCATTTGCCAAGACAGTTTTAAACCCTAGAATATGGTGGAGAACTAAGCAGATACGATGGTCCTGAAGGAGTGCGTTCAGGGAAGCACTGAGCATACCTCAGTCCGTCATCTGTACTTCCCTGAGCTCTACTTGGGATTAAATGCTGCTCAGGTTTCTCCAGCATCTGCTTCCTTCTGCACTGTGCTTTGTCTCTGGTACAAATCTCTTCTGTTTTCTCTAAAATCTACTTGCCAAGCTGTTCACACATTCAGTGGTATTTACCCTTAAAAACGCAGTGTATTTGGAGCATCTATGCACGAAACTCCCTCTGTTCACCTGTAATCTAAGTCACTCTCTTTATCCTTTGCTTGACTTCTAGGGTCCAGCTGCACGAGTGGATCCCGAAACAGCCAGTGTGTTAAGTTCCAGCAGTACACACTCTGCCCCTCGAAGGCTGACCAGCCACTTGGGAACCAAGGTGACAAATTTATGAACCAGGGCTACTAATCTATGAAGATACTGCTAAAACTGTATTTGCTCTTCTCTGAAATTTGGTTTTCAAAATCTCTTCAAAGAATTAACACGTAATATAAAGAAAAATAGGTCAAGAGACAATGAAGGTTATAAAAATATCAGACACGCTTTTTGATTCTTTGTTAGTTGTACCCACTTTTCTGCAAATGCCCTGAGCTGGAGTGATAGCACAGCCAGTAGGGCATTTGCCTTGCACATGGTCAACCTCACCAACCCAGGTTCGATTCCTTCACCCCTCTCAGAGAGCCCGGAAAGCTACCGAGAGTATCTCGCCCACACGGCAAAGCCTGGCAAGCTACCTGTGACATATTCCATATGCCAAACACAGTAACAATTCTCACAATGGAGACGTAACTGGGCCCTCTCGAGCAAATCGATGAACAATAGGAGGACAGTGCTACAGTGCCCTGAGTTCAGCCAGGAGCAGTTACCTGCTGCTTCCATGCTCCCCGCCGCACCACGGATTGGCTCTGCTTCCCTGCAGAGTCCGAGCACTCTGCCTCCCAAGAGTCATTGCACTATGCATGATGCTCTTGGGAAGCAGACTGCTTTTTTGTCTCCTTTTTGTTTTGTTTTTGTTAGTTTTGGAACTATACTGCGCAGTGCTTAGGAATCACCCCTGACAGGGCTCAGGGACCATATGTGTTGCCAGGAATCAAACCTGGGACAGCCGCGTGCAAGGCGAGTGCCCTACTGCTGGACTGTCCCTCTGGGCACTGTTTTATGTCTTTTTCACAATACCTGGCACATAAGTGTTTAATAAATATTTTAGTGAATAGAAAATTATTAGTTGGAGGTTATCTAATGATTAAGGAATCCTCCTGGGGTATCTCAAAAGTATCAAATACTTTAGGATTTAGGAATAATAGGCTCGAAAGGAAAGTAATTTTATTTGTTTTGTTTCATTTTATTTTGGTGGGGGTAACACCAAAACGGTGTTTAGGTATTACTCCTGGCTCTGCACTCAGAAGTCTCTCCTGGCAGTGCTCGGGCAACTATATGGAATATCTGGGATCTAACCTGGCTTGATGGTGTGCAAGGCCAGCACCCTCCCTGCTATACTATTGCTCCTGCACCCGTTATTGCTGTTTTAAAGTCAGATGCTTTAATATAGTGATGGAAATGAAATTCTAATATTATTAAATAATGTATTTTCACATTTTATTTTACATATACTTTTTACTACACTGGGGGCTGGAGCGATAGCACAGCGGGTAGGGCGTTCGCCTTACAAGCGGCCAACATGGCCGACCCGAGTTCGATTCCTCCGCCCCTCTCAGAGAGCCTGGCAAGCTGCTGAGAGTATTGGATATGCCAGACACAGTAACAACAAAGTCTCCAATGGAGATGTTACTGGGCCTGCTCGAGCAAAATATACTTTTTACATCATATTCTACAAACTTTTCAAGTTTGATATAATGGTTTTCAGAAAAAGCACTCTAGAAAGAGTATTGATATAGGAAATGAATTTTAGATTCTCTGTTCAATTTTTGTTAACCTGGGACAGTGGCTCCATTGCTGCTCCCAAGGGTCCTGATTGCTGGGTCTTACAGGAATCCTGTGTACATTATTCTCACCTGCTTGAAAAGCCTTCCAGGGATTCTGTACCTCTCTTGAGAATAACAGAAGCAAAATAAGGTCCAGGCAGCTATTATATAATTTAGTTGGAACACAACCCCCAAATTTATAAGGAAAATCTCTGACATTCAACAGTATTATTGAAAATTGGCACCTTGAATGTTATTTCCATTTGAAGTGATTTATTCATGACAATATTAAAACTACTTTATTTTGAATGCCAAATACTAATATAACAGTACTGAAGAATATAAAGATTATTTCATTTAGTCTTCACAGAGCAAATCCTTGTAGGTAAATTTCTTTATTATACAGGAAGGAATGTAGCTAGAGCGATAGCACAGCAGGTAGGGCTTTTGCCTTGCATGCACCCAATCCAGGTTCAATCCCCAGCATCCCATATGGTCCCCCGAGCACCACCAGGGGTAATTCCTGAGTGCACAGCCAGTAGTAACCCCTGTGCATTGCCAGGTACAACCCAAAAAAACAGAAAAATTCCTTCATTTTACAACTGAGAAAAGTAGCACTTGTGGATGTCACACATCACATAGAAGTGATGGAGCCAGAGTTTGAAAAGACATTTATCCAGACTATATCCAGACTTTTTAAACTTTCAAACCTGGGACTGATTTCTTATGTATGTATTTATATACCTGGAATAGTTTCTCAGCCTCAATTTGGTGGACTGCATGGGAGGATGTTTCCAGCATCCCCAGACTTCCTCCACAGGAAGCCACAGCACTCCTGCCACAGGTGTGGTCACCAGAACTCTCCAGAACATGCCAGAAGTGTCCACGGTGTGGGGAGCAAATAATGCCCAATTAAAAACCACTGATTCACAAAGATGATATGGTTTTCATGAAGTAGCTTCTGACTTCGAAATGAAACAGTATAATGTGTTCACGTAGCTCCTTAGAATTTACTGTCGAAAAGAAGTCCATGCTTACCAATTACTTTCCCCAGATTAGAATAAGTGCCCTAGCTCTACATTCCTATTTTTCAGTAGGAGGGTTGGGGAGGGTGTTTGTCTTCCTGGTCTTTTTAAAATGGCAAAACATGTATAGGAAAGAGATCATAGCATTTTAGGTTTTGTAGTCTGATGAAGGTTAGTGAACCTTGAGAACTTAGTAAATAATTGTTTAAAATCTTATTGGTTATAGTTACAGATTTTAAAAGTATTAGTAAAATTTTACAATATATGAAGAACTTCAGTAAATTTCATTCTTCACTGAACATTCATTATGATCAAAAGATGAACGATAGAGTAGTATGTAAAAAAAAATAAGTATGTAAAAATGTACTTTCTCTTTGTCATTATGTACTACCACTACTACAGTCTAATCAGTAACTAGTTTAGGCATTTTGAAATATGCTCGTTATTTCATCCAGGAGTTTCCTTGTATTTTTTTTAAATGAGTTATAACAGATATCCATTCATCACTTCATTGGTACTGGTTTTAGATATCAAAGTCATAATTTTCTTTCTAAACTCATTTGGCCCACAGGTGGAAATGGTGTATTCATTGTTGTCAATGCTTGGTACTCATGATAAGGATGACATGTCGCGAACTTTGCTAGCTATGTCCAGCTCCCAAGACAGCTGTATATCCATGCGGCAGTCTGGCTGTCTCCCTCTGCTCATCCAGCTCTTACATGGCAATGACAAAGACTCTGTGTTGTTGGGAAGTGCCCGGGGCAGTAAAGAGGCCAGGGCCAGGGCCAGCGCAGCACTCCACAACATCATCCACTCACAGCCTGACGACAAGCGAGGCAGGCGTGAAATCCGAGTCCTTCATCTTTTGGAACAGATACGAGCGTACTGTGAAACCTGTTGGGAGTGGCAGGAAGCTCATGAACAAGGCATGGACCAGGACAAAAATCCAAGTATGTTCCCTATAGAGTATATCCTAGTGCATGTTACAGAGCAAATGTAAAGGAGTTTTTAAAAGCAATCTTTTTAATTAGTATCTGTCTTTATGAATCCAAGGGGAAATATATTAGCCATCACACTGCTAACACACTCTTAACTTTTTATATTTTCCTAGAAGAAATTATCAAAGAGATATCTTAACCGCAGTAAGTCAGCAAAAAAGAGCAGGAAATGCAGAGAAACTTAAGAGTCCAATAGTTCTGAAAGACTTGGAGCTCTTCATTGTCCATCTCTCCAGTTCTGTAAATTAAGCTGCAGAGTATCTGTACATAATATGTTCTTTCAACTCTTAGTAATCAAGCCGTAATTTTTCACATTTGCCTCTTGTTGAGCTATTATAACTATTTTGGTATTTAATCTTCACAATAACCTCGTGTATTCCTCATTGTTGCAAGTAATTATGCTCTGATTGCCAGAGATGCAAGTCTTAAATAGCTAAAATTGCTACTCTAAGTAAACCAGCCTGGATACTTAAAATTTTAGTCAGATTTTAAATCAACCTTTAGTTGTGAAGGTTATTATGAAGATTAAGTGGGAAGGGAAGGTAATTTGCATTTTACAGCTCATGAAATGGTCTCAGAGAGCTCAGAGATTTGCCTTTAGCCTTGTAGTAAGAGGTAGTATTGGGAGCACATCTTGTGTCACAATCCAGCACTCTACCACTGCTCCATCCTGGGCAGGGCAGTGGATCTCAGCTGTCAAGGTGACCAACCACACAGGTCTTTGCTCACAGAGACCCGGGACTTCAGGACCAGGGAACATGGGAACTAGGACCCCGGACACATAACAAACTTCCTTCCTTTAACAAGAACCAAAGATTAAGTATGTAAGATAAAACCAGCTTTTCATCTGAACACGTGTGCACACACGCGCGCATGCATGCACACACACACACACACACATACACACAGCTATTCTACCAGTTGTTGATTTTAGAGCTGTTGATTTTGGAGCTGAAGGTGAGAACATACCTATGAAGCTTTAAAAGGTTCTTTTTACCTTAGATATAAAAGTGTGGATAGCAAAATCTAATTTTTTTTTTTTTTTAGAAAAAAACAAGAGCATAGCTGTCTATTCTCGGGCTAAAAGTAGTGCTTAACTGTCCTTGGTGCTCCGTAATGTGTGATTCCTTGTACTTTGCTCTTCATTTCTGTTCTTGAAAAGTTTAATAGAATAAGTCAGCATTATTTCTGAATAATAGACTTGCTTAAAAAATTCATTTTTAAATATAGGCTTTGAAACTTTGTGTATAGTACTTAATGTTGAGGTTTTTCTTTGGACACCTTTAAATTTTTATTTTCTCTAATATCTTCTGTGCAGTTAACTTTTATTGCTAGGTTTCTTCTAGATTTCTCTGCTACATTTGTTCACGTACTTTTAACCCATTCTCATTATTTAAATAGGAATTCCAAGCAAAATTAGTTTTATTCTAAAATATTTTCGTTTTTATGTAGTTATTTGTGTTACAACATGAACTTATAAGAGACTTACTCTGACAGGGCAGTGAGTGGTAAGCATTTTGTGAACCCCCTCTTCATTATGTATAGGTTTATTAACAAAGCCCTATACCCTTTCTGAATTGGATAGTTTGAACAAATCAGCCAATTTCTGTTGCTGCATGTAGCTAGAATGCACTTGGGGACATGTTACTAGGCCACAGCGCACTGCTGTGTGTGTGGTGCTCTGTTTGGATGGGGTGGTTTGGAGGCCACAGCCAGGAGTGCTCAAGGTGACCAGGCTGTGCTGGGCATGATGCAGTGCCAGGGGTTTCTGGGGCTCCAACCTTCTGCCCCCTCCCTGCCGCAGCACTCTGTGCTGACTAGTACAGGAGAAACAGCCCATGTGCCTGTCCTGCTAGTGTAGGAGAAAAGCCTGTGTGTGCCTGTCCTGCTGGTTTAGGAGAAACAGCCCGTGTGTGCCCGTCTTGCTACTATAGGAGAAACAACCCATGTGTGTCTGTCCTGCTAGTGTAGGAGAAACAGCCTGTGTGCCTGTCCTGCTATTGTAGGAGAAACAGCCCGTGTGTACCAGTCCTGCTAGTGTAGGAGAAACAGCCTGTGTGCTTGCACTGTTAGTGTAGGAAAAACAGCCTGTGTGCTTGTCCTGCTAGTGTAGGAGAAACCGCCCATGTGTGCCTGTCCTGCTAGTGTAAGAGAAATAGTCTGTGTGTGCCTGTCCTGCTAGTGTAGGCGAAACTGCCCATGTGTGCCTGTCCTGCTAGTGTAAGAGAAACAGTCTGTGTGTGCCTGTCCTGCTAGTGTAGGAGAAACCGCCCATGTGTGCCCGTCCTATTAGTGTAGGAGAAACCGCCCGTGTGTGCCCGTCCTATTAGTGTAGGAGAAACAGCCCATATGTGCCTGTCCTGCTAGTATAGGAGAAACCACCCATGTGTGCCCATTCTGTTAGTGTAGGAGAAATAGCCCGTGTGTATCTTTTCTCTTTTCCAGTGCCTGTTCCTGTTGAGCACCAGATCTGCCCTGCTGTGTGTGTTCTTATGAAACTTTCATTTGATGAAGAACATAGACATGCAATGAATGAACTTGGTAAGACATGTATTTTCTTAATGCCACAGAATACTGAAGATTTGTCTTTGTTAATGAATTACGATAGAAGACCAGGATTTCCATTACCAGTGCCGTCCTCATTGTATCAAATTCTGCTCTGGTTTTCAGAGATAACATAGGTCTTAAATGGCTGAGACATCTACTCTAAATAAACCAGCCTGGGTTCTTAAAATTTTAGTCAAAAATTGGAATGTCATTAAATAGGTCACTCCTTGCTTCTGCTGTCCACGTATCTGCCCTGTATGCAGTTGAGCAGGCACATCATTTGAGTTATTCTGAAGTGAGAAACTGTCATTGTTGTTGAATTCTCACCTTCTGTGTTTGTCAGTGCCTCCTGGATTTTCATGAAAAGCACAGATGATCTCTGAAAGTGGTCAGTATAGAAAAATAGAGTGCTCTAATTTCAGTAAAAAACTTTTCATAATTGGAGCTGAAAGGATTATACAGTATAGTGGGTAGGGTTTTGCCTTGCACACAGCTCACCTGAGTTCAATCCCCAGCATCCCATATGGTTCCCTGAGCACCCCCACAAGGGAATCCCTGAGCACAGGACAGAAGTGTCAGGTGCAGCCCAGAAAGAATATATATTATTCTTTATATATATATAAATATATATATCATTATATATATTTATATATATATATATAATTAGTCTCAGGAGACTGACTCCTTTGCTCTTGCTACCCTCTAAAGCAGTGTTTTTCAGCCTTTACCAATCAAGGCCTCCTTCCAGCGAGTTTCCTTCCTGCAGCCTTTGTCCTGCTGTCTCGCCCTCTAGTCCCATGCCATGTCCTCATTCCGTGATTTCCACCTGGAGAACCAAGCCCCGACTGACCCCTGCTCTATACATAGATAACCTGCATGTAGACTTCCGCTGCTTCACATAATACTTTTTCTTTGGCTTCTAGGTTCATGCACGTGTTTTTAGAAAACCCATTGCCCTGGATCTCTGTAGTCGCGGCCCTGCAGGCATGCACTTCGAGTTCTCAGCTTGGTGCCGCTGTGCCCCTGCTCTCTGGGCTGTTTGCATTCCATCCCATCCTGCTCCCAGTTTGATTCTGGCCACTCTCATTGTGGTTATGCATTATTTACCTTAAGAGTGACAGTTACGAGATTCTTCCTAACAGATGCCAGCAAGCCAAGAACGAGGCACTGCCCTGGTTTCGGGCCGGCTTTCCTGCCCTGCTTCTCCCTAGGACGTACATCTGCCCCTGCTCTCCTTTCCCTGCCTCTGAAGGAATCAAATATGTTATCTGTTGACTTCCCTCCTCAATATAATATTTATAAAATTCTCGGTTTGGGTGATTTTTTAACACTAGTAATAATGGGAAAGGGATACAAATAATAAGCAGAAAAACCACTTTCCAGCTGCTGCACAGCTGGTTTCCTGTGTGAGCCCTCGTGCCTCGGTGGGCTGTAGAGCAGGCTGACACACGGGTCATCTGAATCACCATGCGAACCCTAGACTCAGTCTGTGTTCCTCTTCCTTCTTCAGGCAGGAAGGCTCCCCGGGGCATCCCACCACAGGAGCTAGGGCAGGGCCTTCCAGGTGAGGAGAGGAGGGGGCCTCGGGGGTGTGACCGTGGGGAGAGCCGCCAGGGTGACCGGCTGCTTACACTAGGCCTCCCAGTTTGCACTGAAACCAAGAAGGATCAAGGTGTGTGGACTGAGGACTGAGGCTAAGATAGCACGGGAGGAAAAGGGGAAATTCTGCGCTCAAGGAGACATCGGGGTTGTCTTTTTGTGCCGTCAGTATTATGGGGTTTAGGCTTTAATGTGTGCACGATGCAATGCTCATTACTTCCCAGCTTTGTCCCAGGAGTTGTGCTGGGCACACACTGTAAACCTGAAGACACTGGCCTAAGGAGCCTGTGGGTTATTTGCTTAGAACAGAAATGTTTGTCATACTATTAAGACACTCCAGCCTGACAGACTTTGTGAAGTGAACAGAGAAACCCAGGAAACATATTTAATACATGGCACAGACGACCTGATGAGCAGCAAGTGTTGTACAGTACCCATCTAGAGAGAACTAGTGCTGGACCCTGATACTTAGGCATTTCACAGTAATGTTGGCTGTTTACAAACAGTAGAAGAGAAATAATACTACTTTTAAAATTGTCATCTCTTTGTTACCTATTTTTGATGAGTCTAAGTTAAGGATACTGTTGAAATTTATATACATAGTTGGTCCTCTTTACCTACAAGTATATGAGACACCATATTGGATATTTGGTCCAGTTTGAAAATAGACTTCTATTTTTTGCTAAAAAACACCAATAAAAATGTGGAAGGACATGCTTATCGCCTTTGTATTCCCTTAAAACATCCCAGTTTTTCCTAGGAAACCTATTTTTTATTCTCAGTCATGAATTTACATCATATATTTATGGATTCAAAATCATCTGCGTCACAGACATTTAGAGGGGTGGGGGGGGCTATACTGGGGTTTTTGGTGGTGAAAAATGAGTACTGGTGAAGGGAAAGGTGTTTGATCATTGTATGACCAAGACTTAAACCTGAAAGCTTAGTAACTTTTCCCACAGTGATTCAATAAATAAATATAAAAAGAAAAAAATTAAGGTGGAGTTCATACCCAATTCAATCAGCTAATCAGTGGCTGAATAAATAGCAGTACTCCTACAAAAAAAACCCATATGTTTATGGATTCTTGAAACTGAGCCATAGTACAGCAGGGAAGGCGCTTTTCTTGCACGCAGCCGAGCCAGCTTCAGTCTCCAGCATCCCATAGGATCTCCCAAGCACTGCCAAGGTAATTCCTGAGTGTGGAGCTAGAAGTAAACCCTCAGTATTGCCAGGTATCACCCCTGGCAAGCAAACACAAGAACATCTCTTTATAGTCATATCTCCTATAATTTTAGTATGTGAACTATATATTATTAACCTTAAAATTTAGCAAAATAATTTTACTTCCCTGCACTCATATCCAACTTCTATATCATATCCATATCATATCCAAATTTTATTTAAAGTTCTATATTCATTAGTCATGCCCATCAATAGTTTTGATATTTACTATATCTTTCTTTAATCTTGCTTGAAAATCAAGTCCTAAAATTCCGGGGTTTAATCATAGAAGAAAACTCAATTCTTTATGATCATTTAGTGCCTTGTGTAGAGCTTCTTGAGATCACTCTTTTCTGAAGAAAGTCTCAGAGGTGGGGTCCGGTATGAAGCCCAGTGTCGGACACCTGCTTTGCAGTCCCTGCACATATGCACAGATGTGCACACACATACAGCAGGCTGCAGCCACAAGCCTGCTGTGTTTTACTGGGGAACTGATAGGTTGCTTACCAAGGATCAATGTATTGGTAATGTCATCAGTGCACACAGCTATTCCTGTGTTTATTTTCTGGGGCTTAAAACTCATATTTCTGGGGCTGGAGCAATAACACAGCTCGTGAGGCGTTTGCCCTTGCACGCACCCAGTTCAGATTTGATGCTCTGCATCCCATATGGTCCCTTGAGCACCACCAGGAGTAGTTCCTGAGCACAAAGCCAGGAGTCAGCCCTGAGTGTCCCAGGGTGTGGCCAAAGCAAAAACATAACTCCCCAAGCCTCATTTTTTCTCCTGTCTTCTTTTGAATTTCACCCAAGTTGTAAATGGTGCAGTGAGCTGAGCTGTGTCCTGAGCTGCCAGGCTCTCGGGCTTTGCCCCCGCCTTCTCTTCCAGCCTCACATTCGTGTCTCAGTCCAGGTACATGATCAAGCTACCCTTCTGACTTCTCGATCAGTTTTACACGTTTTAATCCAGTTGACAACAAATAAATTTATCTCTTGTGTTCCCAAATTTCCTTCCTTCCAGGGTTTCTTAGTGCTGTTCCCATCCAGCAGCTTAGAAGTCATCTCCAACAATCCATGCCCCTCCATCCGGTGGCCAAAGGCCTTATTCCTGCCTCTTAGTCTGTCTCAGATCCCTGCCTTTGTCTTCATTCCCTATCCAGGCCACCATCTCCTATGTTCTTGGGACTTAAATCCCATTTGTCTCAACACTTCCAGTTGGGGCCCACTCTTCTTGACGCTTTAGCAGTTCATTTAGAACACATCTAATTCCTTCCCCTGCCTAAGCTTGTTGGTGGAGTGCATACAGTTGCTGTGATCTGCCCCTGCCTTTTCATTGTTGCCCCATCTCTGACTATATGTTGTTCGAAGCTTCTTGAGATCACTTCTTTCTAAAGAAAGTTTCAAAGATGGGGCCTGGGACAAAGCTCAGTGCTTAGACACCTGCTTTGTTCGGTAAGTCCCAGAGCCCTGGCTCTGCCTAACATGCTTCTTCACTGTGGGCCCCCCTTTAGATATTCATTCGCCTTTAAGTGTCAGTTTAAAAATCATTTTTTTGTCCTTTTCCGACACTTGTCACCACTATCGTAAAGACGTGACTTGTATTATGTTTGTTGGCTGTATATTTTCCACCGTTGTGGTTGGAGAAAATATCTAACCCAGTGCTCAATGTTATGGGGGAGAAAGACTAAATCTTAGTATAGTGATGTTGCAACAGTGTAAGACATGGTAAAAATATATAAATAAGTAGTTTTAGATAATTTAGAAATAAATTTACCAATGCTTTTTCTTTAAAATAAAAGCTTTGCTTTGTGCACAATTTCAATGAGAATCTTCAGTATTACAAAGGATTATTATTTAGCAGATTAAAAAGTATTGCCCCTCAGCTGTGACAATGAACATAGTAAAAAAGATTTTTTTCCTGCATATATTCAGGAACACTAGCATTAAAAATTTCTTTATCATTGATACAGTGATAGTGTGTGTGCTATTAAATAGCAGTAATAGACCCTAATGCTCATTTCTGGGGCTGGAGCAATAACACAGCTCGTGAGGCGTTTGCCCTTGCATGCACCCAGTTCAGATTTGATGCTCTGCATCCCATATGGTCCCTTGAGCACCACCAGGAGTAGTTCCTGAGCACAAAGCCAGGAGTCAGCCCTGAGTGTCCCAGGGTGTGAGTAAACAGGGGATTGGAGGGTGAAGATACCACAGAACGTGGAATATATAGGTCACACAAAAGTCCTTTGTGACAATTTTGTTGTTCATAATTCTAGAGAAAAATTTAAACCATGCATTCCCTTTCTTGGAGATATTTTTCTCTGATTCTGTTATAGGCCTAGTAGCAATTTGCTTTATTTTAAATTGTCTTTTTCCTCTTGCCCTTTTTAAATGTAGGGGGACTGCAGGCCATTGCAGAATTATTGCAAGTGGACTGTGAGATGTACGGGCTCACTAGTGATCACTACAGTATTACATTAAGACGATATGCTGGAATGGCTTTGACAAACTTGACTTTTGGAGATGTAGCCAACAAGGTATGTTTCATAAGATGCACTTCTGTTCATCTGTGTGTGTGTGGATTTGGTTATGGACATTCCTGACAGGGCTGGAGCCTAGGCCACTATGACTATGCCCAATGGTACTCAGGAGCCAGGGGGCCCAGACCCAGGCATGTGCCCTCCTGCCAAGCCGTACCCTCAGCCCATAAAGCCCAGTTATTGGAGGGGTGGGGTTGATTTGAGGGCTACATCCAGCGATGCTCAGGGGTTATCCTGGCTCTTCACTCAGGAATTACTCCTGGTGGCGCTCATGGGGACTATATAGGGGCACCAGCGATCAAATCCTGAGTGGGGTGTGTGCAAAGGCAAGCATCCTACCCACTGTGCTCTCTAGCCCAAGACCCATTTCTTAAGATAATACTGGTTATGGGTTAGTTTTTTGTCTGTAATACAAACTATTTTTAACCAATTTTCTTTTTGTTACTCTTTTTTTTTTTTAAACACAATCTCTGATCCACATTCCAATATAGATCCTTACTGATTTGGTTACCTTAGGTCTAAACACTAGTCAAAGAATATTTTGGGGGGGAAACACCAGTGTATTTATGTAGTCACATTTAATGAAGGCAAAACTCCGGGCTGGAGCAATAGCACACCAGGTAGAACGTAGCCTTGCACGCAGCCAAACTGGGTTCGATTTCCAGCATCCCATATGGTCCACTGAGCACCGCTAGGGTTAATTTCTGAGCGCAGAACCAGGAGTAACCTCTGTGCATTGCTGGGTATGATCCAAAAAGCAAAAATGAATAAATAAACAAAAGAGGTCACAAATCAAAAAATTTCTTTAAAAGACAAAATGAAAGCAAAACTCTGGAAATGCTGAGAACCAATGCAAGTGTTACATCCATATAAGAGGCCTTAAGACCCTGTGTTTATCACTTGTTTCTACTTAATCATCTTATTTTTCCATTTGGCCAAGAGATGGGCAGCTAGTAAGGCCTGAGGAGTATACTTGTCTTTCATTGATGTAATTGGATTTGAGATACTTTATGGACAGAACACTAGAGTCCAGATGTTCATTGGAACAACATCTGAAGCCCCTGGGTTGGTTGTCTGGCTGACGCTTCCATGTCTAATCTCTAGGCAACACTCTGCTCTATGAAAGGCTGCATGAGAGCCCTGGTAGCCCAGCTGAAGTCGGACAGTGAGGACCTGCAGCAGGTACTGCTTGGAGCTCCGGCTTTCCTTGTGCTGTGCTTAGTGTGTGCATCTGTGTGTCAGTTACAGTAATACCAGAGTAAAGGAGAAGGATTAATTGTAAGAATTCCTTTGTTACTTCATGTAGGAAATTCTTTATCAATATATATGTGTTCCCGCCTCGAGCATTAAAAACAAGACAGCAGGTGTTTTAAATTCCCCTATATGTAAATCATTGTGAAATTGTTTCATTTGCAGGTTATTGCAAGTGTTCTGAGGAATCTGTCTTGGCGAGCAGATGTGAATAGTAAAAAGACACTACGTGAAGTTGGGAGTGTGAGAGCATTGATGGAATGTGCTCTGGAGGTTAAAAAGGTACCTTTGGAGCAGATGCACGGAACTGCCATGGGGCCGTGGGATTGGTATGACTCTCGTCCCCAGAGCCTGGTCTGTGGACCAACTGTTTTCCCTGTTCTTCTCACAAGAGTCAGCAGCAAAGCTGTTCAGCCAGTTTATCACCAGAAAGCATCCTGAAGTCTTTCACACTCTTTCTGAAGTCTTTCAGATATATTTATTATGTTTATACACCACTTACAGGAACTTACACCACTGCCAAATAGTTTATGACTTTATTTTTTTGCTTAAGGACCCCAACATTCTACAGACTGCTCAAAGCCTAGAGAGCTAAATTAAGGAATACCCTGCTGCAAAGCATAGAAGGAGCTCCTCTGAACAGAAAAACGTGCGTGTGACCGTACGAGGAAAAAGCCATTTTTAAAGATCATTTCTCATTTAATTCATGTTTATATTTTTATGAAAGAAAAACATTTCAGCAGAAGCTCAGTCTTGCAAAAACTAACCCATCAGATGGTTAGGTGCTCAGCTCTGGTTTGGGTTAGCTGTATTCAAGTTTGTTCTTTTTCTCCATTCAAGGCAGCTATCTGTATGAAACTCTGTTAGGTGGGCTTCTCCCTCTTTCGGCCAGGTGTGCCACTCCTCGAGTTTCGTGGAACCCTCACCCCACTCTGGTCCCAGCTGGCGTCCTCCCACCCCTCCCTCTGTCACACGGTCCAGCCTGTCCTTGGCCTGCACCCCAAGTACTCCAATTCACAGAACTGTTAGTCATCGGGTAGGAGGACCCTAAAAAACCTATTAGTCTATTAATCGCTTGTTGTTTATGTCTGTTAGGTATGGAGAAAAGGCTTTTCATGTTTGGATTCATCTATAAGAAGCCCCAAAATTTCCAAATAGAAGAATCTTTGCTGGCCCTCTTCTTCCCTTCGGTGGTTCCCTTTCCCTGAGCCCATCCCCCTCCAGTTCATGCCAGCCTCCCAGTTTCACTTCTCACACCGGCTTGTCTTCTAGATCAGACTTCTTGGCACTATCTTCTCCTGTGCCTGTCTTCAGTGCTGGCCGAGGGGCCCCACAGGAAGGCCCCTGAAGCCTGGGAGGTTGGGAGCCTCTCAGCAGTGCTCCTCCTGCCACCTCCTCCTCTGCTTCTCCCTCTCTTCGTCCTCACCTCTAGTGAGTGCAGCCCTGAGACCTACTCGGTTCTCTGCGCGGCTTCTGCCTCCTGCCCTCAGTCTCCCTTCTGCAGCAGTTGCCCTGGAGCTCACCCATCTAAATCCTCACTGTTCTCTCTGCACATCCCACCTCGACATCTTTCCCAGGGTCCTGAAGCTGAGCCCATCCTTCTCGCTTCTGATGGTGAAGGTGTTGCGGCTCTGCCACCCATTTTGTGGAGCAGCATCTGCGCCTGCTCCCAGACTGTTGAACTCAGTTCATTCTACATTGGTGAGCTGTTAATGACTAAGGCCCAGAATATTCACTGTGAATTTCAGAGCGTTTGTCCCCTCACCATTTCCCAGTGTTGTCCTTGTTCCCTCTCTCAAGCCTTTCCTCATTTCACTTACCCTCCCAGGAATGCTCATCTTCTCTTTGCTCTACACCTACAGCTCATCTCTTCTACAGAGCTACTCTTTTGCATAAACTTTCTTACTGAGTTAAATTCAAGCAGCCATGATCATTCCTTAGAGCCAAGATTGCTCATCTTAACTGACCTACAGCCGCTTTTCAGAAAGAAACGACTCAGCACTCTGTTGGGCCTTCCTGTTTTTGTTTGTTTGTTTTTGGTTTGGGGGCCATACCCAGCCATGGCTTACTTCTGGTTCTACACTCAGGGGCTACTCTTGGTGGAGCTCAGGAGGGCCTCTGGGGTGCTGTGATGGAACCCAGATCAGCCTCATGCAAGGCAAGCCCCTCACACACTGTACTGTTTTCCGAGCAACCGAAGGCACCTCCAGCTAGTTGTGCCCAGGCTACCGCCACCCAGCACCCTCCGGGAAAGGGAAGAATCACCCGTATGGAGAAGCACTGCTGTAGAGCACTCTTTCGTGCTTCCCCTCCCCCCCAAAAAAAACAGTTGTCACCACCCTCAAAGCAGGCTTCCAGCTTACTTTTGTATCAACTAGAATGAATGCTTCTAGTTGTGATGGAATAGATTTCTTTTCTTTTTTTTTTTTTATAAAGTAGTTCACAATGTTTGATTACATTTAATATTCAAACATCAGTTCCACCACCATTACACCTCCCCACCACCATATTTCGAATGTTTCCATGCTGAACCCCAATCCCTGCCCCAAATCAGAACCAAGATAATATATTTTGTATTGCATGTTATGAAAAACCACTGAAAATGCTACAAAAAATTATCCATAGAGGAAAGAGTAAAGAAGGTTATATTTCACCCAGGGGCCATTAAGCCCTTCTGTAAGAGATCACTAACATGTTGTTAAAGGTTGAGCCTTGTAAAAAATAATACTTCCCTCTAAGATTGGTTGCCTTAAAAAATAAATTTCCCTGTAAGATTGGTTGCCTCCTACTATGAACCCCATCAAATGTGGTGTGGTATCCTTGGAGTAAGGGTACGGTGTGTGGTATGAAGTGTCTTGACCACGAAGTCCAGGAATAGATTTACTCATGGGTGAGCTCGACCCTATCATGTGGAGAGCCTTGACCATGGCGGTGGTTGAGTTCTGGAGGTTTTTGGCTGCTGGGGCTGGGTCCCTTGGGGCGAGGCAGGCTCTCACCCGCCCCCACCCCCTCCAGGGTGCCCGAGTAAAACAGCCAGCCTGGCACGGGATCTGGTGGCTTGGTTATGGCAGGCGTCATGTTATGCTCCCATCCAGGAGAGAAGGACACGTGATCTGGATGATAGCCGCTGACGAGATTGCCTGGCACCAGCGAGAGGTGGCTTATGGGTCTGAGTGCTAAGTTTCCGGAGACGGGGATACAGGCAAAGGATTTCTGTTCCCAGTCCCAATGAACCCAGAGTTCTCAGTCACAAAGTCCCGCGTACCCAAGTTTTCCAGTGATTCATTCATGGGTGAGCTCTGCCCGAGCCTGTGGAGAGCAGCCTTGAGCATGGCAGCGGTTGAGTTCTGGGATGGAATAGATTTCTTTTTTTTTTTTTTAATTATTATTTTTAGTGAAACACCATGAGGTACAGTTGTAGATTTACAATTTTTTGTGCTTGGGTTTCGATTATACAATGATCAAATACCCATCCCTCCACCAGTGTCCATTTTCCACCACCGTGGATAATATCCCTCCCACCCCCATCCCTCCCATCTCACCCTGCCTCTGTGGCAGGGCAATCCCTTTTGTTCTCTCTATTCTTTTGGGTGTTGTGGTCTGCAAAAGAGGCTTTGAGTGGCAAACATGTTCAGTCCATAGTCTACTTTCAACATGCATCTCCCCTCCTGGGAGGATCCTCCAAACACCCTTTATTTGGTGCTCCCTTCTCTATCTGAGCTGCCCTTTCCCCTAGAATGCCCAGCTGGCCTCTAAGCTATGGAGTAATCCTCCTGGTGTTGATCTCAGCTATTCTTGGGTATTAATCTCATATTTTGTTTCTTTATATTCCCCAGATGAATGCAATCTTTCTATGTCTATCCCTCTGTTTCTGACTCATTTTGCTTAGCATGATACTTTCCATGTTGTACCACTTGTATGTAAATTTCATGACTTCATCTTTTCTAACAGCTACATAGTACTCCATTGTGTAGATGTACCAAAGTTTCTTTAACCAGTCATCTGTTCTTGGGCATTCAGGTTTCTTCCAGTTTCTGGCTATTGTAAAGAGTGCTGCACTGAACAAACAAGTGCAGATATCACCTCGACTATACATTTTTGCCTCTCTGGGATATATTCCCAGGAGTGGTATTGCTGGGTCAAATGGGAGCTCAATTTCTAATTTTTTGAGAATCGTCCCTACTGTTTTCCAGAAAGGCTGAACCAGTCGACATTCCCACCAACAGTGAAAGAGTGTCCCTTTCTCGCCACATCCACGCCAGCATCGGTTGCTTTTGTTCTTTTGGATGTGGGCCAGTCTCTGAGGTGTGAGATGGTATCTCATTGTGGTTTTGAGCTGCATCTCCCTGATAATTAACGATGTAGAGCATATTCTCATGTGCTTTTTTGCCATTTGGATTGCTTCTTTGAGAAAGTTTCTGTTCATTTCATTGCCCCATTTTTTGATGGGGTTGGATGTTTTCTTCTTGTGGAGTTCAACCAGTATTTTGTATATCCTTGATATGGGATGGAATAGATTTCTAATGGACATTTGCTCCCTGGTTGAGTTTTAGTAAGAAGAATGACTGAGAACATGATCATAGCAAGTTCTGGCCATATTATCTTTAATTCCACATTCAGAGTGTTTTTGTAGGAATTTTAATTTGATTCCGTGGTATTGTTTATCAGAGAGTTCTGGGGTTTTTTGTTTGTTTTTCTTTTGGCTGAATTAAGAGGAGAGAAAGGATGGGAAAGCCATGCAGGGAAGCCCATAGGTGTTGGAGGGTCTCCTGAAGAAATTTTGGGAGAGGGCCAGAAGCCCTTCCTTGGGGGAAGATGGATGGGGGAGTTTCTGTGATGTTCCAAGAATGTGGGAGAGTGTGCTGAGAGGATTCCTTCTGGATTCCGAACCTGGCAAGCTTGGGTCATCAGGCACCATTCAGGCTCACCTCCCCCTCCCCCTCCTCTCCCCCCCCTCCACCGGACAACTTCTATCCTGGTAGTTTTCTTGGGACCATATCCCCATCTCAAACTACCTGTACCCCTTTGTCCCTATCACCCCCCCCCCCCCTTTCAGCAGGAGGCTCCAACAGCAGCAGGGGGATGGGGGAAGAAACCATCAGATGCTTCCTTCTAAAAGTGGGTGAGGTTTCAGTGCACAGGTGGAGCCTGTGAAAGGGTTTGTCTGTGGGCCCTTTGAGGAAGGCAGATGGAATGTTCAGTCTGGGCTAGCCAATCAGCATGCAGGCTACATAGTCGCTGGAGCTCAGAGTGCTGCATGGCATGGAAGTCTTTGAGGTCTA